GATTGATGACATGTATGTTACTACTCGCTTTACTAATCAACGACATCATTACAGAACCAAAGAACTGAAACGTCAATTCAAAGAGGCCAATAGCTCATTTATGAACTGTACTATACTATTGGAGCATTTAACTTCGTCTTTGCACAAAGCTCGTGAAAATCTAGCTCGAGTCGATGATGCTCTCGAGATTCTCTCACACGATTCTACTAAATCTAATAAAAAGCGAGCTGCTCTTGTCACTAAACAATCAGATCGCGTTGCCTGCATCCAAAAAACTGTCAAACAAATCAAACTTCTCAAAAATAAACGTGATCAAGAAGAAATTCTGTGGCGACAAAAAGCAAAACTGATATTTGATGAATGCCAGAAAGAGGAAGTGAAACGACTAGATCTTATGAAAAAGACTCTGCTTGACTTTACACAAGCGATGCAGATAAAAGATCAACAAACAGTAGATCACATATACTTGACGTTAGCTAAAGAGATCCAGACAAAGCAAAACTCGAAAACTGATGTTGAGTGGTGGGCGAAAGTGTATGGTGCCATGGAAGAAGAAGAAGTATTAGAAAATGATGAAATCGATAGTAGTGGATATGAGCAGGACGACGATACTGTATAAAAGCAAAACACGACTCATTTTTAGTAATATAGTTTCTTTCGAGATTTTAATTTTTGTAAAATAGCTCTTTTGTACAATAGTGATACTTTTCTGTTCCTTCAAACTTTAATTTATATTTAAATAAATAAAAATCTCTTGTAAGGCGCATCTGCTAAGAGTACTGGTAATGATTGTCCAGGTATTGAGTAAGTAGAAGTCTTACTAAAATAGAATATCTCGTTTAGGTGTGCACCGGTATCGGTATTCATACCGAAATACCGATACCGACAATACCGAAGTTCGGTATATACCGATACCGAAAATACCGACTTTTTTCACTTCGTTAGAATGTTTTGGATTTTTTCATTTGAAATGAGATGTTTTAGCGTCCTGGACACCCAGAATGAATCAGGGACGGAAAACAAGAGCTTTGTTTGCTTTCTAAAGCCAAAGTTTTTCTTTTCTTTCTATCTGAACATGCTCAAAATACACAGCTGAGTGTACGTTCTGCTTGTCCAGGGTGCTAAAATACCTCATTTCAAATGAAAAAATCCAAAAAATTCCAAGTCAAAAAAAGTCGGTATATTCGGTATTCGGTATACCGATACCGGTGCATACCTAATCTCGTTAAGGATTAAAGCACACAAGATCCTGGATAAATCTCATAATGGATCTTGTATTCAAAAATTTGTGTAAGCAAGACACAAAAGATTGCGAACACGGTTGTTCATGCGATGATCTCTGCTGCGTGAACTTGCGCAATTACACAGATGAGTAGAAGAAGGAATTAAATCAAACATATCAGTGGGTAAACCTCATTGAATGAGTAATCAATTACACGTCCTTATTAATTGGAAATTTTTTTTCTAATGGTATCTTTGGTGTAATTCCCTTTTCTTCTCACCTGTAATTGTGCAAGCTTACGCAGTGGAGTACAGAAATAAAGGAAGTATATAACCAACTTGTACACCGAAATAAAAGAGATGATATTGAAATCATAGATAATACCCACTCAAAAATCTTATCTTAAGCTGAATAATCTGGTATATGGTAGAAAATGTAGATTCAAAAGCAGAAGATAAATTGTCCAAATGAATAAATCATCACTTCTCTATGCGTACTCGAGTGACGATGGAGAACAAATACTCATAAAAGAAATCCCAAATGTCCCTAGAGATTTGAATGAAAAGAAATTCTAGAAAAAAATAGTTTTTTATAGAAGCACAAAAAACGTGTAGAATTTTGCAGCCAGTTCGAAATCACCAAACTCTCCACGACGTTTTTTTCATCAAACTGTATTCAATTTACAAAAGGCCCCTCTGCCGTTTTCACTGTCATTTTTGGTGATTTCAACGTGGAGGAACCTTTCGTAAATTGAATGCAGTTTGATGAAAAAACGTAGTGCAGAGTTCGGCGACGTCTAGTTCTATTCAGAAATGTTTGCTTTGCACGAATGGGCTGTTTACCAAAAGTTTCCTTTGGAATCGCGGGACTAAATGTTTCGGGGTTTTCTGAAATCTTGGTTGTTCAGGGACCGTGTTTGCAGGAATTTTAATAGAATTTTCATATACACCTCATTTGATTACAAATTCTTTCAGTTGTTCAAATCTTTTCTCCCATTTGTTCTAGCTATTATAGTCGAGAAGAAAAATTAAAAATAAAGGTGGACGCTCAATTTTGGCCGCCACGGTACAGAGTGTAATTTGTATGATGGTTGTACATTTTCCTCTTTAAAAAATGTTTTTTGATGGTCTCATTATCTCTCGTCTATTTCTAATATTTTCGATTATTCGATTTTCTTCCTTGCTGTTGTGCTACTGAAGATGTATTAGTGTCTCGAAATATCTAAAATAAAATAAAAATTACGAAGAAAAGTATTTAAATTAGTATAATTACCAGTTTTTTCAAAATCGATACAAATTACCCAAAACGTTGTTCGAGGGGTACTTCAAGTGCTCAGAAATATGCTTTCGATGAGCCTTCGTCGAGGATTCGAGCCCTCGGAAAACGGCACTTCGGACCATCGATATAAGCTTTTGAGGGATATTTCCGAGACCCCGTCGCACTCTCGAGAGAGCGAGGGCTCGGAAGTCCCGAACATCTCTATTCGACGGCTAGAAATTTTTCTCGAGAGCTCGCTACCTATCTGAAATCCGAGGGCTCGAAATCGATACCCCACGAAAGTTTATATCGAGGGTCTGAAGTGCCATCGAGTATTCATATGTCGATTTTGGTCTAAGTATACCGAACTTTTGTTAATCTACTGGTTTGATGATTAAACCGAAGACTTACTCCAGTGCACTTGACATTATTCTTTCTTCAGAGGACATTCGTTTCTAACTTAATTGAGTAATGTTGCGTTACGAAGAATACGTGTAGTTTTTAAACGATATTTATAGTCGTAGGTAAGAAAATAGCTTAACATTTATATATACAAAGTTTTGGATTCTATTGTCAGAAAGACTCATTGACGCACACGTTACTATTGATGAAAAAGAAATATAATTTGCTGTAAAGCGAAAATTTTAACAATTTATGTGCTGAATGAGTATAAGTGTTGTTGACATTATGTTTTATAAAAGAAAGAATGAGAAGAGACTTATGTACCAAAAAAAACTAGTAATTTATTAAAATCGTTAAATGTCATACAATTTCGAACAAATTGTCTCAGAAATTCTACCATATATTATCATGAGTGTAGAAATTATAAAGTTTATCTACCTGTTATGAATGATTATTCAGTGAACTAAATTTATTGTTCGGAATATAATCAAGCATATGTTCAGCTATTTAATAGCTGACGTTCAAAGTTGAAGATCATATCATGTTAATACGTGATTTATTCTTTGTTGTAGGTAATGTGAATCCTATTCTTTCTGTTTGCAATTCCATCACGTTTCATTGTATATCTTGTAAGTTTTCGACTTGGTCGCTTGTTTCAAAAACAAATACTTATAGACATTTACATCGTACTCTAGGTAGTTTTATTTTTTATGATATAAAAATCACATTTGAGCAAATATCATATTCTATCCAATAACAGCTACTTGACTCCAAATAACTTCAAGAATCAATGAAATAAACTGATACTTAAAAACAGCTAAGTGTCATCTTACGTGTCGAAATGTCACTCAAAGTGAGAGACACTTCGAAGTATGTGCAGTAAAACTAAAGGTTATTTCCCCCTTGAGTTTGGAACAATATGAGTTTAGCCGACACTCTGTCAGTTTCACAAAGTAAAATTAATTAATTAGATAATATCCATTTCTAGTTTTATCCCAACTAACACAATAAATGCTCGTCATGATGACAAGCTAGTTTAACATTCGAACAAAAAGATCAACAAAATTGCAATTTTTAAGGTTTGTAGCCAGAATAATGACTAGAATATTTTATATGAGAAAACAAAGAAGTCAAATTGATTGGTTCGAAAATTTTTTTTAACTTTAAGAATTTGTGAAGGACATCGTCTAATGTAGTTTTCGAAGCTGATTTCGAATATCAACTTAAAATTTCCAAAAAATTAAATTTTGACCTCAAAAAATGAAATCCAAATTTTATTTTTAATTTCCTGACCTAGATATTTTCGCCAAAAAATTAAGGGATATGGCATTAATTCTCTATAAGATGGTGTATTTATTTTTGAGTTTAGGTGCTTTCCAAGAAAGTTGGTTTTTCGAAAGACCAAGTTTTAAAACGGGTTTTTCTCCAAGTCAAAATGATTTCAAAACGTTTTTCGACGGTGCATTGGAAAGATCAGATCAGATACTGTCTACTGCTATCGGAAATATTTTTTTATGACGACTTTTGTAATGGAGTTTAACCTTCTGATTTGAAAGAACCAAAAAAAGCTGTAAGTCCATAACGAAACGTAAGTCCGTAACGTTTTTGTTTTTGATGTATCTGTCAGACTAAACACTTTCGAGACAAATCTTTTTTTACTTTATATAGGCTTAATTCTCAGCTATATTTGCTACGAAAAGGTTTTGTGAAAGAACCTCATTATTCGCTAAACTTATTATCTGCTTTTTCCTCTGCTCTACATTCACTTCTATTTTTTGTAAGTCCATAACGCTCAATATTATTTGTATAAAAACCGTGCCACTTGGCTGAAATCCACAATATGTTGGTTGCAAATAGAACTCACCGAGCTCTATCAGCTGATGCAAGAACGATCCTCACAGCATCTTTCGTTACAGAAAAAATTGCTATGGACTAAAAAAAGCGTAAGTCTGTAACGCCTGGACTAATTAATGAATAACGTATGTTCGTGCAAATATGGAAGAAAAGCTTCATTTCTCAGCAGTTTTAGCTCTCTTGTATCAACCATCATGACTAGATCAACCATATCAAAATTTGACCGAATATTTCTAGAGAAACGTCTCTAAAGATTTTTACGTATTCAGAATGTGAGGAATCACGAGTTACGCTGTACGACGCAAATATCTCGTCCGACTCCCCGTAATTTTTGGACCCGATGGCTCCGCTGGAGGTTTTCATGGTAACTTATATTAAACTATATATTCAACAGCAGACATCAAATAATCGTTTTCTTTTCTTTGATCTTATTTTCTTTCCGCCTCATATATTTTTCTGTGCTCGTTCATATATGTGTTTTACGTAATTTTTCTTAAAGAGCAAAACTAAGGAAAGGAAAAAATTGTTTACTTTTGTCCAGATGTTCATTTCTTGTATGTTCGAAAGAAGCGGTGAATTTATTCAACCGCCAAAAAACTGCAAGCGGTACATATCTACATCTATATTGTTCTAGACTCTTACCAAATAACAATACGAATGATAATGATGATATAATTGTTTAAGATTATTGTCAAATAGCAATTGATTCTTTTTTTTTTACTTTAACTCTCATCTCTCCAGTCCAATGGCACTGAAATCAGATTACCCCATTGCATATCTGCCTAAGGATACCGAGACAATGAGCATTATATAGCTTGTCCAAGACTATCACGCGACTGCCGTTGTCGGGATTCGAATTCCGTATGTTTAAAGTACGTCGTCTG